TCGGAGTAAGCAACCAAAGCTGAATCGCGCGAGTCCGCGCGACGTGCGCACCCAAGAACTTTAGCGGTAACGGCAGCAAGTTCAGGAGGCCCAACAACACCCCCCCCCCCCTGTGCCCCATGCCAAACACCTTTTAACATTGGCGGCGTAGTGAGCGCCAACTACACGGTACGATCAAGAGCCTCTGGATACTGGAATCGATCACGGCGCCGCCGCACACGCAAACATACCCATACAAATACACTTTACCAAACCATATGCCTATTTGTGTGATCTCGCATCTGGATATTGCAGAAAGAACTCCATGAGCCCCGTTGGAATCTTCCCTGACCTGCCCCTGTCAGCGCCTTCCAAGACGATATAGCAGTAACTTCTAGATGCGCAAGAGGCCTCGACGATCACCCATCATCCACATCCACCCTAAGAGGCCCTACGATAGTTCATGGTACTCCCCCAAGGAGTTGACGCCTTAAGGCGGCCCGAGGCCCGCCAGAGGTCTCCACTGACTTGCCCTCCACGGACACGCTTGGAAAACTCGTCTCCAAGACGCCCAGATATCTCAAGACAGCCTCCAAGATGCCTGCAAGACGGACAAGATGAGCCAAAGAGAACCCAACATGGCCCCCAGATGCCTCCAAGACAACCCAAGATGGGCCCAAACTGGCCCAAGAAGGCTTCAAAACTGATCGGAAGACCCCCAAGACGCCCCAACAGGGCTCGAAGAGGATCTCCAGACCCCATGCCGAATCCGAATTACTGAGTTTCCTCAGGTGCTTGACATTTGTGTTCGCGACCTCGCCTTGTCGGGCTCCCGAAAACCTAAGACTGACCAAGATGCCTAGGATCGCCAGCAGACGACCCAGAGAGCTCCCAAGAGGGCCCCAAAGACAGGCACGAGAGTCCCAAACAGCGCGACGAGGTCCCCAACACAGTCCAAGTAGGACTCCGAGATGGTGTTCGAAGGCTGCGGACCGCCCAAAAACATTCTCGGAAGGCGCAAGAGAAACCCAACGCGGCCCGAGCGAGCCCCGATAGAACTTGCCCACAGAGGGCCAGAGGATGCCCCCAGAGGGCCCCGCCCCGGTGTTCCAACAGTGGTTTCCTCAAGCGCTGGGTGAGCACGCAGTCGACTATAGTGCAGGCCAGTCCACAAGAAACTTCCCACAAGAAACCCAACCCTGAGACCCAAGGACTTCCATCGATTTTTGATGTGGGAACGCCACGCTTCTCATGGAAAATCATCGAAACCCAAGAAACGCACGGCACCCTGGAGGCAAGCAGGGTGTTTCTTGGCATGGGCCTCTACTCTAGCATAGCAGCGCCTTCGCTCGACACTTCAGAACACAGGCGTTTCCCCAAGGTAGGAGGTGGTGATGGCACAGCGTACATAAGCACCTTCGGCGCACTCCTCTTGATTCCTCAAGAAAAGCGGAGGGGGTCTGATACCCGCCAGACGGGCCGCTTCAGAGCCCCCCCTCCCTCCTCCAAACCAACAATAAAAGAGCGTTGTTTTGCCCAGGCCCCCTCGGAACCCTCCCAAACAGCTCAAACCAGACCCCCCTCAAAAAACTCAGACCTCCCCCGCTTCATTAGAAGAAGACAACAAGACATCAACATAAACTTTTTGGCGCTCCGCGCGGAGCGCCAACAGTTTATGTTGATGCCGCTTTCTCTTCGCTTTATCACGAAATTGAAAACAACGAGGTGTCGTCACACGTGTATCGGGCGGGTCGGGCAGACACTGGGATAGGGGCGCACTTGCCTCAGAAGTCCAACCGCTACATGATGGTGATGGTGATGGTGATGATGATGATGACGATGCTACTGCTGATGGTGATGATGATGTTGGCGATGATGATGCTGATGATGATGATGATGCTGATGATCATGGTGATGACTGTGATGATGATAATGGTAATAATAATGATACCAATAAAAACACTAATAATAATAATAATGATGATGATGCTGATGATGATGATGCTGATGATGATGATGATGATGATGATGATGATGATGATGATTGTGACGGTGATGGTGATGATGATTGTGACGGTGATGATGATGATGATGATGGTGATGACGGTGATGATGATACTGATGACGATGATGACGGTAATGACGATGGCGATGGCGACGACGAGGAGGAGGATGAAGATGCGATGACAAGGGTAGTGAGAAGAAGTGATGATGCGGAGCGCGCTGCATGTGCAAGCGACCTTCCCAACTCATTTTCCTCGCAGAGCTGGCTTCCTTTTCGCCGCGCGTCGCAGCATGCTGCCAGAGCGCCAGTCCTTTTTCGCTCTTGGCAGGGGTTGCTGACGGATTGGTGAGAACTACGGGAAACACTGCACGACACCCCGTGAAGACCCACGCATACGACCTCAGGCTAAGGCAAGTCTGATCACGCCCCACCCCTCACCATCCTCCTACTCTATCTCGAACAGAACACCAGCTGCAGAAACGTAAACTTGCGCAGGTCCGCGCGGAGTTTCTGGATCGGCGCAGGGCTCCCCTCCCTGACGCAGCCAGAGGCGCCCTAAGGGGGCCTGGCGCCGATCCAAGGAATCCGCGCGGACCAACGCGAACTTGTGTGTGTGTGTTTGTTTATGCCGTTACGTCCTTTCGGTAGTCGCCCTCAGCACACTGAGTGGGGGCGGGGCTTATCCACAATGACCGCCCGGGGAAGCGATCCTCGGGGACCCGGGCAAGCGGTGGCAATCCACAAAGGTTGTCACCTCTTGAGAGGTCGACTTTTGCTTGCGCCGGCTTCCGCCGACCCTCCGCAGGCTTCCGCCGGCGGAGGCCGCCTCACTCTGCTTCCGCCCGCCTTCCTTTTCTTTCATAGCACTGCGCCCAACTACCTTCGGGACGGACGCTTCGTGAGGGGCCAAAGTCAAAACCTACCGAAATCGGCGCATCTAAAATACTATATTTCAGACGAGAGGGCCCGAGACGAGGGGCGCGAGCACAGGACAAGAGCAGCCCTGGCCCGCCCGCCTTCCGCCCGCCTGCCGCCGAGGAAGAGATGGCAACTCCTTCGATCCTCGAAGGCGAGGCCCCGTCTGGAACGCCGCGCACGGATACATCGGGCCCCCCCCCAGCAGGGCCCGGCTGTACACGCCGCTCGGAAGAAGTAGGGAAAGGCATGAAGTGATACGGCGGATCAAGTACTCCAGATTTCGTAATAAAAGGGAGGGGGTCTGGACCCTCCAAGACAAGCCATTTCAGACCCCCCCCCGTGGGAGAACCCTCCAAAACATCGTCCCCAGACCCCCCAGGCCCTCCAAGATAGCCTGGAAGAGACCCCCCCCCGAAATGAGACCCCCCTCCCTTTATTACGAAATCTGGAGTAGGGGAAAGGCATGAAGTGAGAAGGTGGATCAAGTAAGTTGGGTCCAGGCCCTCCCAGAGAAAAACAAAACACGGCAAAAGCAAACCGATGATTGAAGCAGGAAGACGCCTTCCTGGCGGCCGTTCGGGACGATCCGGGCACCCCGGAACGCTCTCGCCGAGGCGCAGCCGCTGGAAAGCACCCCGAAGCAACAAGACCGACGAGAACAGAGGAAAACGTCCGAAAACCTCAAGCCTCGAACTTGGACCCCCTTCGGAGGCCCAGATCCTCACCACACCTCCTGCTCCTCCCGAGAGCGGGCGCGGCGGGTCAGGGCGCGACGGTAGAGAGAAACAAACAAACAAACTGCACAAACCTAACCGTATGCTGGTGAGAATAAGATATCGATGTTCGGATGTCTGGATCGCGTTTCGCCTGAGACATCATCACAATCATAACGACGACATGAACTTTGGAGGGGATAATACAGTTAGGCCTCCCCGCCTTCCGTCTCAAGTGGACCACATCCAATCTTGTGGATAAAAAGAGAGACACAGGGAGCGGGGGAATGCTTTGTTATCAGGGGGGTGCAATTATAGAAAAATGAACAATGCATACACATTACCTTTTGGCGCTCTGCGCGGATTTCTGGGATCCGCGCTGGATCCCCCTCCCTTGCGCGCAGAGCGCGCCAAGGGCAGTGCCGGAGGCGCCGCCATGGGGGGCAAGGGTGCCAAGACACCCTTGGGAAGGTTGCCCATCCCAACTCTGCGGGTTGACTGTACTTTCTCGGGGCGCCGATCCAAGAACTCCGCGCGGACCTCCAAACGTTTGTTTGTGCTGTGTTTTTGTTGTGCTCTTCGAGACGGGAGGGCGGCCCACAGCCGCCCCTCTCGGCACACCGGGAGGCCCCTCGGGAGCAAGACACGGGGGGCCAGGACGAGGTCACGTCCGCGCCAGAGCGTGCCGGAAGGCTCAACAAGACGAATTGGACGCCCGAATTGGGTACGACGAGAAGGAGCACAACGCCCAACAACACATGTTGCCCAGAAACGACAGCGGCCGCTGTGGGACAGACGGCCTTCTGTCTCAAGTGGACACCGACCGCGGCGACGCTGACAGCGAGCCCTGATCAGAACGAACAAGAACTGCTGTTTGACTTTGTACCCATTCTTTCCGTACCCATTTCGATAGTCCCGAACATCCGTTCCAGAGCGTGCCGGAACGATCCCCGAGCGTGCCGGAGCGCCCTGAGAAGGCCGCGGCGCCCAAGACATCCTCCAGAGCCGCTGGATCTCAGAGATTCTTCTCGATTTCCCCTTGCCCGATGTCGTCCTCGTCATGGATTCGTCTTGTCTTTCACCCATAGCGAGATAAATTAAATATCGGAAGCCCTCCTCCTCCTCCTCCTTCTCCTCCTCCTTCTCATTCCCCTCCTCCTCCTCCTCCTCCTCCTCCTCCTCCTCTTTCTCCTCCTTCTCCTCCTCCTCCTCTTCCTCCTCCTTACCCGAAGCCTCCTCCTCCTCCTCCCTCCTCCTCCTCCTCCTCCTCCTCCTCCTCCCTCCTCCTCCTCCTACCTCCTCCTCCTCCTCCTCCGCCTCCTCCTCCTTACCCGACGTTGTCCTCGTCCTGGCTCCGTCTCGGGGAGGGCCCCGCGGCGCCCGGGTCACTGCAGGAAGGCCGGTTTGCGCTGCGGCTTCTCCTTCACCTGTGGCGCGCTGTCGCGAGGGAGGGCGCGGCTCGGCCCCCACTCGGGGGCGTAGGCAAGGGCATGACCCAGGGGACGACGACGACGACGACGACGAGGATGAGGAGGACGAGGAGGGGGATGAGGAGGATGGGGATGGGGATGTGGATGTGGATGAGGATGAGGATGAGGATGAGAATGATGATGATAATGGATGATGATGATGATGATGATGATGATGATGATGATGATGATGATGATGATGATGATGATGATGATGATGATGAGAATGATGATGATGATGATGATGATGATGATGATAATGATGATGATGATGATGATGATGATGATGATGATGATGATGATGATCATGAGGATGATGTTGATGGCGATTGTGATAGCGATGGTGATGATGAGAATAAGGATGAGGATGGGGATGAGGATGAGGATGCTGTTGATGATGCTGCTGCCGCTGATGATGATCACGCTGGCGCTGATGCTGATGATGCTGATGCTGATGATGATGATGATGATGATGATGATGCTGCTGCTGAGAATGGTGATAATGATGCTGACTGATACTGATGATGCTGATGATGATGATGGCAATGATGGTGATGATGATAGTGATGATGCTGATTATGATGATGATGATGCTGATTATGATGATGCTGCTGATGATGATGATGGTGACGATGATGGTGACGCTGATGGTGACGGTGACAAAGTCGGGGCCGATTACGATGACGGCCAGACCAGGAACCGGTGACAGTGACGGTGACGATTACGATGACGGCCTGACCATGAGCTTTTGGAGGTCCGCGCGGATTCCTCGAATCGGCGCTGGGGGGCCCTCCTGGCGGCGCCCTCCAGCGCCGATCCAAGACATCCGCGCGGAACTCTGGGTTTGTATGTTGATGTCTTTGTTTGTTCTCCGACTATCCCCCCGCCAACCATCCATTTCTCCTGAAGAGGCGGCGAGGGGTAGGGCGCGGATTTCTCAACGTGTTCGACGAATCCCACCAGCCCTCTGGGCGTAGGTGTTCGAACGAGCTCGGTCTTCTCTCTGCCAAAGCTCTTTCCTTCTCCTCTTCGGGGGAGGGGTTTAGGGGCTTATCCCTCCCCATACCTCCTCCCCTGGGCCTGGGGGGGGGCGCGGGTAGTTAGAGCGCCCAAGCTGGCACAAGAGATGGCCTCCAAGATGGCTCAAAATAGCTCAAGATGGCTCAAGGTAGCCTCCGACACACCTCCAAGAGGCCCCAAGACAGCCAAAGAACGGTTCGAAGGGCCCTCATAACCGCCCAAGGAAGCCTCCAAGAAACCAACGCCCTTCAAACACCTCAAGAAAATCAATGTGTTTTACTTTCTCGCCGTTACGCTTCCGATGCGCTTTTCGGACCTCAAGATGGCCCCAAGATGGCCCAAGAGAGCCCCAAGAGAAGCCCAATATTTTCACAAGAGGCCCCAAGAGCGCCCCAAGACACCCTGTTTGAGCCTCCGAGGGGGGGCTAAACAAAAGCTATATACCCTCTCTTTGAGCCACGGGGCCCAAGACGGCCCCAAGAGGCCTCCCAGACACCCCCCCCAATAGACGCCCCAAGACGCCCCAAACAGCCCCACAAGCCCCCCAAAGGACGGACCTCAAGAGGCAAAAACCATTGAAACACCTTGGGAACATCAATGTGTTTGCGTTCTCGCCTTTTCATTTCCGATGGCCTTCCGAGGCCTCAAGATGGCTCGGACTGCAGGGTATTGCAGGGTCTTTGCAGGTCTTGAGAGGGTCATTGCAGGGTTGTTGCGCAAGGGTCTTTGCAGGGTCTTTGCAAGGAGGGTGTCAATAGGACTCCAAGAAGCTCGCGGATCGAAAGCTCCACGACGGTTTCATGATGAACTCGTCGTTATTGTCGTCGCTCTTCTGCCTCCCCAATCCATCTACTGGTTCATCCTCTTGTTCCTTTCTTCCTCCTCCCGTTATCCTTTGTTCCTTGCTCCTCCCGTTGCCAAAGATAGCCTCCCCGCCCGAGAGGGTTTCAAAATCACTCCAAGAGGGACCCCAGAAGACCCCAACGAAACCGCCCCGCCATCAGAACATTCGTCACGTGTTCCCACCGTTTCAGCGCCCACGAGACACTATCAGGTAAGGCTCCACTGCAGGCTTCTACACTTCCCTGATCAAGGCAACTCGCCTGGCGATCTGTTTCTGGATGGGCTGGTGAGGATACGTGGAGCGTCAAGAATTCCGAGCCCTACCCCCGCCGCCCATCATTGATCGGCGAGGCTAAGGTTCGGACTTCGCCGCCGACCACCCCCTCGCTCGGGAGGAACAAAGATCACGACGGACGGTTGTTGGACGTTTTCGGTCTCCGGGGACCTCACTGTCTCTTCACATGCACAAGCTGCCCGAATAGCAATGGGGAGCGATCATGCTGACAAATTTGCTAAGCTTGGTGCTCGTCATCCTGTTGATGGAGCGTCCATGGAACGTCGGAGTAAGTCGCGTATTGTAATAGACCATATCGGCAAATTCATAAAGTGTGTCATGTCTCGCGTTCTTCCACGTCTTAATGAAATCCCTCGCACTGACCGGGTCGTCCCCCCCCTGTGCTGGACCCCCCAGCGGCTGTTGTGATGCCGCTTACGGGAGTCCCACATGAGAAGACATGGGATCGTTCTGTACAGCGCGTCGGGTTGGGTGTATGACATGCTGGGCCTCCAACCATAGCAAGCTAGAGCTTCATAAGGCTCCGTGTCAGGCCCCCCATGTATTCGGCCATGTAGTAACAGGACTGTAATAGGATTTGGGAAGTACATCTTTTGTAAACTTTGTGGGTCGTACTCGTCCACAAACGTAGGCCCCTTGCAGCAACTATGTAACCAGCGCCCTGAATCCACGACCGGCAAGTACAGGCGTGGTAATTTGATGCAGGGGTTGGACCCCAAGAACACTGAATTGTCCACAGGTCCGGCGTTGCCAGCGCTCACGCGGCTGCATGATGAGCTGGGGGACCCAGCAGTTGTTTCTCCTAGTTTGGCCTTGGTCCCCCACCTTGTCCCCTCATCTTTGCAATTCGGCGGGTGGCTCGACCAAATCATCGAGTACATTTAGTGAGATAGCAGCTTTTGTATTGCAGGATTGCTCTGGGAAAGCGCTGTTGTATGATTTCGTCGGGGCATTTCTTGCGCGCCGATGTTCCCCAGCATTCTGGGGTGTGCGACTCGCGCTAAGCGCGGTCGCCACGTTTCCGTGCTCTGCCCTCTTGTTCTTGGACCTGCCTCCTCGGGGGCAGACCACCTTCCTAGTCCCAGTCCTCCTCCTCTTCCTCCTCTTCCTCCTCCTCCTCCTCTTTCTCATCAGCCTGTTCCTCCTCCTCCTCCCTCCTCCCTTCTCCCCCTCCTTCCCTCCTCCTCATCCTCCTCCTCCTCCTCCTTCTCCTCCATGCCTTTTCTTTCTAAATAATTTCTCTCTGTCGCACCCCGAAGCAAATTCTTAGGGCGGGCCGGGCGTTTCGACTCAGACTTCCTCACCATTGACGACTTCGAAGCTCAAACATTGGCAACAGCTTCCTCGATGGAGGGCGGGTGGTTTTCAAAATGTGGCTCTCGCCTCAGCGCGGCGCGCATTCGTTGCACAAGTGTGCAAGAGTTGCACGGATTGAGGGCGGGTGGTTTTCAAAATGTGGCTCTAGCCTTTGCGCGGCGCGCATTCGTTGTGCAAATCTGCAAGAACTTAACGGATTGACGGCGGGTGGTTTGCAAAATGTGGCTCTCGCCTTAGCGCGGCGTACATTCGTTCTGACAAATTGCAAGAGTTTCGCGGATTGGCGGCGGGTGGTTTTCAAAATGTGGTTCTCGCCTGGGCGCGGCGCACATTCGTTTTAAACATGTGCGAGGGCTTCACGGATTGAGGGCAGTTCCCTTTTCAAAATGTGGCTCTCGCCCCAGTGCCGCGCACATTGATTTACAACAGTTGGCAAGAGTTTCACGGATTCCCATCGCCAACGTGTCAGAAATGATGTTTTGAAAGGATTCAGGATTATGCGGGTGCAACCGGATGTCGTTCTGGCACGATTCAGGATTGTCAAGACGCAGCAGTCAGGTTGATCCGTGGCGTTGAATCCCGAGAACAATGTTTTGGCATGCTTCAGGGTCTTCAATAGGTTGTCTTCCAAAGAGGCAACTTCTTCAATGAAAATCAACCGCTGTAGGGGCCTATTAAGAGGGAACTTGAAGTGAGGGTTTATTCCAATATCGTTGATGACTCTTGTGTTTACACTGGTCCTCCTCTTCCTTCTCCTCCTCCACCTCCTCCTTCTCCTCCTCCTCCTCCTCCTCCTCCTCCTTCTCCCCCCTCCTCCCTCCTCTCCCCAGCGCGTGGGGGGGGAGGGCGATGGGGCAGGAACCAAAGGGGGGGTGGGCAGAGGCGGAGAGTGGTGCGAGGGAGGCGGCATATATATATATATATATATAGAGAGAGAGAGAGAGAGAGAGAGAGAGAGAGGGAGAGAGAGAGAGAGAGTGAGAGAGTGAGAGAGAGAAAGAGAGAGACAGGAGAGGAGACTCAGGGGGGGGGAAGGAGACTCAAGGGGTGGGTGGGTGGTAGCGGAGGGAAGCACAGGGGGGAAGGGGGCCGCCACGCGGATGGGGGGGGGGCTGGGGGAGAGGAGGGGCCACCAGGGGAGGGGAGGGGCGGGGGGAGGGGAGGGCGGAGGCGGAGGCGGCACGGCGGGGTGGCGCCACGCTCCGAAGGGGGCAGCGGCGACGGCGGCCCGCCTGGAAGCCGGGCCTGGGCGCCGCGGCGTCCTGGACCGGGCAGTGGCCCGGACGCAGTGGCCCGGACGGCGCCGGCGCCGGGGCAGCGGCAGGGGCAGAGGAGGGCAGCAGGAGGGGCAGGATTAGGCGAGGGGGCGAGGGGGAGCGACGAGGGGCGAGGGCCGCGGAGGAGCGAGGAGTGCCGCGGGAGAAGGAGGAGAGGAGGCGAGGGGGCGAGGTGGAGGGGTCCCTCCCCCTCCTCCTCCTCCTCCTCCTCCTCCTCCTTCTCCTCCTCCTCCTCCTCCTCGGCCGAGAGAGCGCGGTCAATAGGGCCTCTGTTTCCGCTGGCGTGCGCGCTCGGCAGAGGGGACCGCGGCCCCCGCCAGCCCCCCCCTGGTCCTCCCCCGCGGGCGCCCTTCACGCACCCGTTGTCAGGGTCGGTCATGGTGGGACCCGCGCGCGGGGATGCAGGACGGCTCGAGTGCGCCCAGGTGCGCAGGGCTCCCCCTGGGGCCGAGGGGGCAGACGGCACGCCAGCGACGCCCAGAACCAGAGGATGGAAAAGGGCTCGCTCCATAGGGCTGCTCTGGGCTCGGCAGGGAGGAAGAGGCCAAGGGTGTCGTCAACGGCGACGGCGACAACGCCTGCACGTCCGAGAGCGCCCAGAGAGGTCCAAGGACCGAACGGGACAAGCGGAGAAGCAGCGAGGAGCGCCACGCGACGAGAGCGACAAAACCATGAGCACGAGCAGATGTACGCCCTCGCAGGCAGCGAGGCAGCAAGTGCAAGTGCCAGGACAACTGCGATCGAGCCGGCGACCAGTTCGGAAGGCAGTCAAAGTCCCATCGCATCGCTCCTCCTCCCTCCTCAGGGAGAAGAAGAGGCATCGGCTCGAGCATGATTCGTTCTCGGAGCTCCGCGCGGATCTCCAAGACTGGCGCCAGGGGCGGCGCCAGAAGCGCCGCCAGGGGGGCTCGGCGCCGACACGAGACATCCGTGCGGACCCCAGGGAGTTAATCCGCCGATCTGGCGTGTGGGTTTGAAAAAGTCTCAGCTACAGCCTACAGCCTAGAGCCTGAGCTTCCAGCTCTGCTGGGGGCGGGGTGGCCGGGATGGCTCTGCCGGGGAAGGGGGGGAAAAGGGGGGGGGGACGAGTTGTGGTCCGCTTTTCGCGGGGGCTTTTCCGGGCCCACGGGGGCCCCAAGACGGGCCAAGAGGGCCCCAAGACGGCCCCAGAAGCCCCCGAGACGCCCAAAGAGCGCTCCAAGACGCCGAAGATCCCCTCCAGACGGCCCAAGGGGCCCCCTCAGAAGAGGATCCTTATATAAAGATCCTCTTCTGAGGGGGCCTCTATAGAGGCCAAAATCCGCGCACCCCTTGGGGTCACGGCGTGTGAGATGCTTCCCCCTCCCCAAACCCCTCCCCCGGGTGGAGCCTCAGGAGGCCCCAAAACGGGCCAAACAAATTCAAAACGGTCCCGGAACGGTCCAAACGGAAGATCGTTCCGAAACGCCGAAGATTGTCTCCAGACGGCCCCATCAGCCCCCAAGACTGTTGGAAAAGTGTTGCGAGGCGCCCTGCAAAGGCCCTCCAGAAACAAGAATCGTCCCAATCCTTAGGGAAAACGTGCATTTTCAGCACATTCGCCTTTTGGGCTTCCCCGCGGCCCGCAACGGCCCAAGAAGCCTCCAATACCGACCCTCCGCAGCCCAAGAGGCTCCCAAAAAGGCGACGGCTTCCGGACGATCCACGGAGGCTCCACAGACCATGGCAACGGCCCGGGAGAGCCGCAGGACGGTCCCAAGAGGGCTCCAAAACGGGCCAACGAGGTCCCCAAAGGCTGCCCAGACGGCCCACGCGGGGGACGATTCGGTCCAAGCCGCCCAAGATTGCCTCCAGACGGCCCCATAGACCCCCAAGACGTTTGAAAACGCGCCCACGACAAAAATCGTCCCATTCCCGCAAGGAAACATACGTTTACAGTACATTCGCAGGCCTACAACGGCCCAGTAAACCTCCAAGTTCGACCCCTGACACCCCAAGAGGCTCTCAAAAAGGCTCCTCGGCGGCTTCCGGGCGCACCACGAAAGCCTCAGAAATCACAGCAACGGCCCAAGACAGTCGCAGGACGGTCCCACGGGAGCCTCACAACGGGCCAAGAGGGTCTTTAAAGGCCTTCTGGACGGCCTACGATGGGAACGGTTCGGTCCAAACCGCCCCAATTTGCATGCAAACGATTCCCCATAGGCCCCCGAAACGTTTGAAAAGGCGTTCCGCGAAGGCCTCCACAAGCACGAATCGTCCCATTCCCCAGGGAAAACATACACTTTCAGCACATTCGCCTCTTGGGCTTCCACGAAGCCTACAACGGCCCAAGAACATCGATCACCTACAGCCCCAGAGGCTTTCAAGAGGGTTCCAAAACAGCCTCTGGGCGCACCACGAAGGCCCCAGAAACCATAGCAACGGCCCTGGAGAGCCGCAGGACGGTCCCAAAAGGGCCCCAAGACGGCCCAAGAGGGTTTTTAAAAGGCCTCCTGGTCGGCCCACGTCGCTCAACAGTGCACCAAGTCGTCCAATATGGCCTCCCGAAAGCCCTGCCCCCAAGATGCCGCAATACGATATCCATAGGCGTCCCCAAAAGCCTACCACAAGCAACGACCGTCTCGATGGAAAGTACATATTTCCAACACGTTCGCCTATTGGCCTTTCACGCGGCCCCTGAGACCCCATGCGCACCCCAACGCGCCACGTGGACGCGGCCCAAGAGACCCTCCAGAAGCAAACATCGGCCCGTTCCCCAAGGGAAACGTTCACGTTTAGCACATTCGCTTCTTGGCTTTTCACGAGGTCCACAGCAACCCAAGAAGCCCACAAATCAATTCAAGGAAACCCTATATGCCTCCAAGAGGGCTCCCAGACGGCCCAGGGCCCCCACAGCCACTGAGGACGGCCCCGGGACGGCCCCAAAGGGCTCACCCGACGGCCCCAAAAGGCTCCCGCAAGGGGGGGGGCAAAGGTGCTGGCCCCACAATTGGAACTTTGAGGGTCCCCAAAACAAGCAACACAAATTCCAAAATGCCCCCCGAACGGTCCAAGAGAGCTACGAGTCGACGAGGAATCGTTCCACAACGCCGAGGATTGCCTCCAGACGGCACCGGAAGCCCCCAAGACACCCCAAGAAGCCACCAAGACGCCCTCCAGCAACAAAAATCGCTCCATTCCCTACGGACAAAACGTATATTTCAAACACACTCGCCTGCCCTCAACGGCCCAAGAAGCGTCCAAAAGCGACCCCGGATTACCCAAAAGGCCCCCCAAAAAGGCTCCATGACGGCCAGCGGAAGGCCCCGCGAAGGCCCCAGAAAAAAACCGCAACGACCCAGGAGAGCCGCGGGACGGCCTCGAGAGGGCCCCGGAATGGGCCAAGAGGGTCCCCAAAGGCCTCCTGGACGGCCCACGAGGAGGGCTACGAGTCGTCGAGAAATCGCTCCAAGACGCTCAGATTGCCTCTCGGCGGTCCTACAGGCCCCCCAGACGCCCCGAGAAACCGCCCGGAGACGTCCCAAGAGGCTTTCCAGAAACAACAAGCGACCCATTTTCTATGGACAACAAACATTTCCAGAACGTGCGCCTCTTGGGCTTTCACGAGGCCCACAACAGCCCAAGAAGCCTTTCAGATCTACCCAAGACGACCCAAAAAGGCCCCCCAAAAGACTCCAAGACAACCCAAATGGGCGCCAAAAGGCACCAGAAACCGCCAAACCGACCCAGGACGGCCCCAGGACGGCCCCCCAAAAATCCCCAAATGGGTCCCACAAAGCCCCCCCGACGGCTCCAGAGCGCGACTTACGAGTTACGACTCGTGAGGAGATCGCTCCCAAACGCCCGCCGTTGCTTCCAGCTTACCCTGAGGCCCCCTGAACGCCCCAACACGCCACCAGGACGCGTCCCAAGAGGCCCGGCATCATCAATCCGCGGCCCCTTTCCCTAAGGGAAACGTCCAAGTTTAAACACATTCGCTTCTTGAGCTTTCGCGAGTCCCACAGCAGCCCCCCAAAAAACCCACATCAACCCAACAGCCTGCGCATGCCCCCAAGAAGGCTCCCAGACGTCACAAACTGGCCCCAACAATGCCCCCGAAACCACCAGGGAGAGCCCCAGGGCGGCCCCAAGAGGAGGGTGAGAAGGGAACCCGGAATGGAGAATTGAGAAAACATGAAAAGGGCGCCGGGACGCACCCGAGAGGCCTTGACGGGGATCCACAATGCCCCCCGAAAGGCCACGAGACCCGGAGGCGGCCCGTCGACGACGAAACCATGAAAAAACTGAGAGGACGAAGACTCAGCAAAAAACGAAATTCTTTTGTTTTCCCGCGCAGAAATCTTTCGCTGGACCCTTCCTGGAATCCAGTCGCAACTGTTTGCCCAAATGCATCCAGCCGCGGCGACGGGGGAGGGGCCCGGACCCCCCCAAGCACAACAAACCTCTCGAATTCGACGGGCTACTTCGCACAAATTCGTTCCCCGAACCTTTCCCTGGGTCCGCCGATGCAATTTCTCGCCCCAGGTCCGTCCGGTTTCGAAAGCCCTGGGGCCCAGCAGCGGCCCCCGGAGACCGAAACCTACCAAAAACAAAAGCTGTTCAAACCCAAATATGTGGAAAGGCGGCGGGAACTGCCGCGGGCATCTACCTCGATCGAGAAGAAAAAGATAGGGCGAGGAGGAGGAAGAAGAGGAGGAGGAACAAAAAAGAAGAACATGTCGTCGTCGCCGCCGATGTCTCACAAATTTTCGTGGTCTTTCGACCACCCGAGGCATGTCCTCGAATTCAGCCTCCATGAACCGTTGCCGGTGCCCGGGACCACCGCCGAGGGTCCGGGGTGAGGATCGACCTCCCTGGCCGGCGCCTCCCCTTCGCAGAGGAAGGAACACGGGTTAGATCGAGGCTCGAGGCATGAGACTCCTAGTTCTTGGGCGCTCTCCGCCCGCTCTGGGCCTTCAGAAAGCTCCTCGTCGACACAGCTGGGTCCACTCTCGAACTTCTGGCCG